AATTAGATTTTTAGGTTTGAGATCTAAGATTAATGGCATTGGTGAATTAAATTAACACAAATCAATTAGATTTTAGAGGTTTCTAAACTTTGAGCGATTGTGTGTTAATCGAATGCATAAGGGTCTTCATGTGAATGCTTAATTTGAATTGAGGTTTCATTCGAATTTAATGTTAATCACTAATTTGTTGGCTGATTCATCTTGGAATCCGGTGATAGAATGATCATAGTTCTTCTAAATTCTTGGACTAGAGTTTTAAATTCTTGTTAACTTTTTATTCTAATCAACATTATTTTATAAACTAAACCCCATCCAAATTCATAATCGTATAACATTATTATCATTGGGAGACGACTCGGATTGCACCTTTTACTACATAATTTTTATGCAATTCGGTATTTAATAATTTGTCCTAGCACGATAGAGGGGTATTTTCCCACTTATCCCTTTGAGTCCTCTCACATTTCTCTCGATTCTCAAGTTATTCTTACTAATTAAATTGCCTCTAAATCCATTGGGAGTAAGATTGAAGATTAAAAACAACTTTGGGGCATTTAGAGGTAAGTTTGGGAGTTAGGGTTCTTAGATTTCATCCCTTTTTCTTTGATTTCTTGGTTTCTCGTGGGATTTTCCTTATATTTAGGACGAAATCCGTGTAGTGGATGCTTCCATTTTTTATCCATGTGTGGGTCCTCGATTTGAGGTAAGGGAGACTCTACCCTATCTCATTGTGTTTGAATTTGTTATTTTGCTATTTATTGCTATGTGAATAGTTGGGAATATGAGTGTTTTACTAGAATTGATATGATTATAGTGAGATCATGGTGAAATAGTTGTATAGAGCATAGTGTAATTGATGTTGAGTGTAATGTGATAGTTGTGATAAGTGTTTTGTGTGTGATGAAATGAATGATTATAGGAATATTGTGATGAAAACTGTGTGACTGAATATTATGCGGTGAAATATGGCTATTTATGCCTTCGATTGAATATGAATAATATGAGATGATGGAAAGAATCTGTGATGGCATGTTGAATGTAAATGTGGTTGTGTTGGAATACCGTGAATGGTTCAACGATACACTGAGGGCTTGGAAGATGGGGGCGTTAGAACTACCTTAGGGAAGAGAGGGTGGTGGTGACACCAACATTGAGCGTGGGTGCACCACAGGCCACACACTCTCCTCCTAACTCGTCCTCTGACTAACACCTTTGCCTGGGGGGCTTAATACTGCACACGTTGTATCCGTGGAGCAGAAGCTATCCGGCAACCATCCATGGTGTGAACTAAGTATGTCCCTGAGGTTGAGGGCATTAGAGAAACTGTGATCACAGTGCCATAGTGAGCGTGGCTACATGCAATGAGCACACGTGTGTGAGTATGAGGGTTGATTGATGGTGCAGTGAGCGCACCTGTTTGTGGTTGAGAATAAATGTCTAGTACTTGTTGATGCATGACCAAAATATATTAGAAAATATGTGGGATGGGTAAGGTGAGACTCTATGTTTGTTTATATGTGTGTGATAGTGTAAAGTAATCACCCTTACATTATTTTTCAGGTGACCAAGACGATCAGCACCACGCTCAATAAAGGATGGATGAAATTGCTATAGGGCATAGGAATTTATTTTGAAAATTTGATGTATTAATTAAGTCATGTAGCAATTATTGATACAAATTTGTAATCCATCCATGTTTTGAAATATTTTATTGAACTATGCTTTGGGAACCATCTGATCGAAAAAATTTATTATTCTTAATTTTGTAGAATTTATTTATTTAGAAAATTAAATTATGGTGTTACAGATCCTATTTGCTCTCGCTTGAGCGAGAATATTCCAGAATGCCTACTTTTGCAAGACAACTCCTCGCTTAAGCGAGACTACCCTCGTTTGAGCGAGATACCTTGTACCCAGAACTCCAAAATCTCTTTTTCAGGTGAGATAATACCAATTGTTAACCCTAATTTCTAGATTATCTTACATACAACACACTTAATAATCATTTTTGGGCTTACACTGCACTTACATTCAACAACATCATCACACAACATATGATACAGGAAAAACATTATGCAACCCTACTAGTTGAGGTGGTAACACCAACTCATAGGTTACTGGTCCTCTGCGACACAATATTTGATACGGTCCAATAAACTTAGGTGTCAGCTTCTTTGTTTTCAAGGTTCATCCCACATCTGTAGTTAGTGATACTTTTAAGAAAACGTGATCACTCATGTCAAATTCCAGAGGCCTCCGACGTCGATCGACATAAGACTTCTAACGACTTTGAGTCACCTTCAATATTCTCTATATAATCTCAACTTGTTCCATGGTTTTCCTTGAAACCAACAGACCAGAGTTTGGCATCTTCTACCATATAAGGCATCAAAAGGTGCCATGCCTATACTTGAATGATAGCTATTATTGTAGGTAAATTCTACCAAAGGAAGTATGTCTTCCCAATCACCCTTCCGATCAATAGCACAAGCTTGCAGCGAGTCCTCTAATGTTTGAATAGTTTGCTCCGATTGACCATTATTTTGAGGGTGATATGCTGAACTTAGCCTCAGTAAAGCTTTTTGAAAATTCTCCCAAAATTGAGAAGTAAAGCGAGGGTCCCTACTAGAGATGATTCTAGAAGGAATTCCATGTAATCTAACAATTTCTCTAATATACAGCTTAGCAAGTCTTTCCATGGTGTAGGTCATATTAACTAGCAGAAAGTGAGCACACTTAGTCAATTGATTAACTATGACCCATACAACATCATGGTTCCTAACTGTCTTTGATAAATGGGACACAAAGTCCATGGTCACAAAGTCCTATTTCCATTCAGGGATTTCCATGGTTTGTAATTCCTCCAGGTGGACAGCGATGTTCTGCTTTTGCTTTTTGACAAGTCAAATAGGCTTTAACAAATATGGCTATTTCACCTCTCATGCCTGGCTACCAAAACATCTGCTTCAGATCTTAATACATTTTTGTCACTCCAAGATGGAGATTCAAGCTGCCCTTATGTCCTTCTTTTAAAATCTTTCTCCTCAATTCAGCGCCTCTAGGAATACAGACTCGATTATGATATTGAAGAATACCATCAACACCTTGATTGAAACCAACTACACGTTTTGTGCCTAAAAGAAATATAATTCAACATAATCTAGGATCTCACAACTGTTTATCCTTAACTTGTAGAAATTCACTGGTCACCATAATTCTGCTACATCTGATCATTCTAAGTAATATATTCATGTGTAGGTTCAGGTTTCAAAATTGCTCTATTAAAAGAGACTCACTAACTCTCAGTAAGAAAGCCTGAACTACACTCCTGCTCAAAGCATCTGCTACTACATTAGCCTTGCCTAGATAGTGTTGAAGTTGAAACTCATAATCCTTATAGCGCCTCTGCCTCATATTCAGTTCCTTTTGATCAAATAAATACTTAAGACTTTTATTATAACTAAATACATCAAATTGTGCTCCGTAAAGATAGTGCCACCAAATCTTCAAAGTAAAAACCACTGCAGCAAATTGAAGGTCATGCGTGGGGTAATTCCATTTGATGCTGAGAGCGAAAGTTCCATCAAACTACAACAAGCTACGATAGGAAACCCCCTTCCCTTGTATGTTGATACTTTCACTGCCAAAAGCAATTACGTGCAACCAAAAACTCAGATTATGTAGGAAAAATGAAATCAAAAACAAAAAATCAGCAAAATTTAAAAGGAAAGAAGTGTGAGTTGCCTCTCACAAGCGCTCTTTTAATGTCACTAGCTTGACGCCAATTGATCTTTAGCTCTAGAAGATAAATTTAATGGTAACGGCTCTTGCTCTATCTTTAGACATTTTTCCTTTTTCTCACCAACTTGTAGCTCTTCATTTAATTGAGAACCTGAAAGAAATAGATGTGGAGGGACTTCCAACAACTTGATATACTCATTAAGTTTGTTTCCCTGCTCTTCATTGTCTTGATATCTCACTGCAGCAAGGACTTCTCTTATAATATAATCTTCATTTTGTTTTCCTGCTTATTGGTTCTTTTTTTTGGTGTAGTGCAGTTGTTGTCCTCTAAATTTTCTTTTCTTAAATAAGTGAATTTCCCTCTATACAAGTTATCTTGTGCTTCTTCTTCAGCATTCTTTATAGCTATCTTTTTCTCCTCATCTTTTGGATTAGAAACCTTTACTCCACTTCTTATTATGACAACATGGCATTGCTCCCTTGGGTTCATAATAGTATTGCTAGAGAATCTACCCTCATGCCTATGTGCCAACTGCTCTAAAAGTTTTCCTATTTAAGTCTCCAACTTCTTTATAGATTCCTCTTGATTTTTGAAGTTGGATTGTGTAGTAGTGTTTCCTCTATTTCATTCATCCTCTCAGACAGACGTTTTGAAAATTATGGCTCTCTTAGAGGTTAAGATAAAGAAGCTTAACAATATGATTGTAGAGGATGCAAATTGGCATTGAACAATGGTGTAGTTACAAGAATACCTTTTCATGCAGGACTTTGTTGATTCCACTTATATGTGGTTGACTCCTATTGGCTTGATATTGAAAATCACAATGAAATAAAGGTTGAGACCTTTGAAAATCACCCATGTAATTAATCTGCTTTTGAGGTTCTAGTGTAAATATATCACATGCTCCATTCATATGATTTCCTCCACAAAAATCATATATCAAGTAGTTTGTTTTTGCAGCTCCAGCTTGAAAAGTATTGATTTGTTGAGTTGAGGCTGCAAGTTGTTCAGAAAGCAATTGATTTTGCATCTGATTTTGGGTGATCAAAGTCTCAAGTGCCTTTGCTTCAAATGCTCCTTTACTTGCAACATGCCTCTCATTGAAATTCTGATACATGTTGGTTGCCATCATGTCAATTAATTACTGAGCTTCTTCTACTGTTTTATTATTCAATGAACCTCTTGCTGTTGCATCTACCATGGTTCTTGTGACAACATTCATCCCATTGTAGAAAGTTTCCAGTTGCATCCACTTTGGAATACAGTGATGAGGACATCTTCCCACAGCAGACCCTTATATGTTTCCCATGCATCATAAAAGGATTCACCATCTTGTTGAACAAAAGAGGTGATTTCACTTTGCAACTTGGCGATTTTGATGGTGGAAAGTACTTAGTTAGAAATTTGTTCACTAAGTTAGTCCAAGTAGTGATGCTTCTTTGTGGTTGAGCTTGAAGCCAATATTTAGCCTTGTCCCTAAGAGAGAAGATAAATAATCTTAAGCAAATAACATCTTCACTTACACCATTGATACGAATAGTGTCACATAGCAGCAAAAAATTATAAAGATGTAGATTGGGATCATCTAAAACATATCCAGAGAACTGATCTTTTATCAATTTCACCAATGCAGGTTTGATCTCAAAATTGTTAGCTTCAATTATTGGTCTAACAATACTTGAATTGTAATTCTGCATAGCTGGAATGACATAATCTCCCAAAGTCCTTGTCGTGTTATTTTTAGCCATATTGTTCTCTTTTGATAGTGTTTGGTTCACACTTTGTTCTTCAAAAGTGGATGCTATCTTCTGCACTTTCTTTTGCAACTTCCTTGCCATGATTGATATGAAATACATGTTGTATTAATGATAATATATATATATATATATATATATATATACACACACACACACGATTTAGGTTGAGTCTAGAGGTGTTTGACCTACGTTGGTAAAATTAATTATTATCTTGATTTAGAGGTGAGGAGAAAAGCCCATCCTTACAAATATTTTCAAGGAACCAAGACAACAGACCCTTAGAGACTCATTAGGTTGTCTAAATTGATAATAAGTAGTAGACTTATTAATGTGTTTAGGGCATGGCAACGGCTCTGCGATTGTAAGTTTATTATAAATAGTAATGATGGCTCTGGTATTGTATTTTCTTTGGAAATGACTATAGGGTATAATGTCCCTTTTGAGTATCCTATTAGTGGTAGGATCCACCACACCATTTGTTTGTACATATACAGAGGTTTAGTCAAGACACTAGATGCAGCGAATTATGTTTATACTTTCTTGGATCATTACCACCATGGAAGACCAATCCGGTTTACCTCAGAATGGGTGACTACCACTAAGGTTGTGGCCAACATCGGAGATCTTGGAGAGGATGAGGAGCTGACTCCAGAGGAGCTAGCTGAGACAGAGGGCAAGCATAGTGATGAAGACTAGGGTTATAGTCTTAGTATTTTGAATAGGAGTGATATGATCATTAGGACTTAGTATATTTTGATTTTGTAAATTAAGTCCTAATGTATTTTGGATCAATATTTGTACATATGAACCTTTGTATTTAAATGATAATATATGCTCTTATTTTACTATTGTTCTAATATAAGTTTATTTAGCAAGTCATTGTTATTCTTTTATCACTTTATTTGCTTTTGTATTTTTATGAATTAAGTAATGAGAGAAAAGTTTTAAATTTTGTTAAGTTTTTGTATTATGAATTAAAAGAAATTCAATTTATTTTTTGTTTTTCATATAACTTCTTTCATAAATTTCATAAAGAAATCAAGGACATTATATTGGGAACATTCTAGTTTGCTATTTCCTTTTGATTATGGCTTTTTTTTTATGATTAGTTTAGTTCTTTTCTTTAGCATTAGTAACTAAGTTCATAGCTAGGGCTATGAGAATTCTTGTTCATGAATTTATAAGATTTTGATGTTTGAATCTAAGTTTGATTTTCGTCCGTGATTAGTCTTTATCCCATTATGTATAATTGTATGTTGTGAACTAACCACTCGTAACATAACTCTAATTAATTACATTGTCAAGTGACTGTACCTTGATTAGTTAATGAATCTATAGGATAAAATGAGACAAAGGATTAGGTGGATCAAACCAATCTTTCTCGTTCAATCGTTATTAAGTTAACAAGTTCATAGGTGCTTTATGCTTTCTCGAATTAATATCGTGCATGACCATTGTAGATGTTACTTTAGAGAAAAAAATATTAATATTCAATGACCATTGGGTATTGATAGTATTTGTATGAATGATTGGTAATCACAAGTAAATTAGATTTAGAGTTAAACAGAAAAATAACATAAAGGATTGAATGGGAAAACTCACATGTCATAAGTTCCTCTTCTATAAGCTCAACTGAGACGTGCATTGTATTACTTGTTCTAAATTTTATAATTGATTTTATAGTTGAATTATTACTTTTATTTAATTTTGCATTCATTAAACTCTAACAATTGAATTAGGAAAATCATAGTAATTGGAACAATCCTTATGGGACGATATTTTAGGAACTTGTTTTACCCTATATTACTTTTTGACGGGTACACTTGCGCATCAAACAAGGTTTTGGCACTATTGCTGGAATCATTTTTTTAATATTAAGAAATTTTCATATTTAATTGATTTGAGCATTCATATTTTGCTTTATTTTAATTTTGTTTTGTATATTTTCAATTTTTTTTATTGTATAAAGTTTTACTTAGTGTATGTTCACTCGTTCTTAGTCTTCTAGAGCTTGCTTATTTGAACCGTAGATCGAGAGAATTGCACATAGGCAAAGGAAAAAGTTGAGAGAGCAAAGAATGGCAGAGGGAAAGAGATCAATTCAAGATTACATCACACCCACTGCTAAAGGTGCTTTTGGAAGCATTGCAGCCCCTAATATGGAGGCCAACAATTTTGACTTAAAGTCGGCATTGATAACTATGGTCTACAACTCTACACAATTTGGAGGAATACCTCATGAAGACCACAACCTCTACCTGACAAAATTCCTTTGACTTACAGACACCATCAAATACAACGGTGATGAATCCATAATTTATAAATATTTTGTCTAGCTTTTTACAGAATTTTAATATGAAAAATATACTTAGAGATTGCAAATAACATAAAAACCTCATTTAGGTCAAATATTATAGCTTTCTTATTTTTTGTCTTATTTCCACTAATTTTTGTGAATATATTTTGCAATTTTGATCATTTGAATAATTGTGCAGGAAATTCTAGACAAATCTCATGAATTTTTGGCTCTGGGGAAATATGAACTGAGAGTAATCACTCTCAGGTACCATAGTGATCACTCCAAGGAGCTGATTCCAAGGGATAGGCCAGAGTAACCACTTTCAGAAGCAGCAGTGATCACTCCAGAGCTAAAGAGAACCACCAGACCTACGCGTAAACACTCTCAGAAGTGAGAGTGATCACTCCAGAAAGGGAAAAATCTGAAGTTACTGCTCATAATCACTCTTGTTTACAGAGTAATCACTATGAGGCCATGTCAGACTTAGTATATATAGATTTTTAGAAATTAGGGTACAAATCTTTTCATAGTTTTAGATTCTTTTGCCACTATAGGAGCATTTTACAGAGCTTAGGATCCTTGGGTGACAGGCAAGGCCAATCTTAGGGTTTGATTTACAATTTCTCTCCACTTTTCTTTAATTCTTGCATTGATGTCATTGAATTCCTTTTGCTTTCATCTTAAATTTGTAAGACCCATCCTCATGGAGGGCTAAACTTTCTTGTAATCCTTAGTGAGTTCATGGATTCTTGAATTCCTGGGTATGAATGTCAATATAATTCCCTTTCCTTTATGAATTTATATCTCCCAACTCTTTGAATTGAATTAATGTTTGAATGAGGGGGACATTGCTTAATTAACCCCAATTCATTTTAATGAAATTCTTAACTTGTTTGCTTAATCCTAAGTTAGTTTATAAGGTTGCGTAATCTTAGGGAAAAGCGTTGGAGCCCATGTAAATTGCTTAATTCGTATGGGACTTTAAGGTTAATTCTTGCTTTTTGAGTTACCCTAATTTAGAGGAAGAGGAAAAGTATTGAATCTTCAGAGGGATAGGAATAGAATTACATGAACAAACTAAGGATTGCACATTTCATTGATTGGATTCATTAATTTCATCACTTGGCGTTACATTAAAATTGGAATCACACAAAACCCCCTTGTTTTATTGCTTTCATAGTAAATGTTTACAACATGTTCAATGTATGTTACAAACCAAAGTCATTGGAGACAACCTAGGCTTGCATCCTAGACTACCTAAATTTTTTTGCATATTTTGATGAAGGTTGACGATAAATCTTTTTGCGAATGAGAAAATGAGAACATTTTTGCTATTTTATTTAGCTTACTTCTTTTCATTCCTTATATTTATTTTCTAGTGCATGACCAGGTTGAATCCTGGAGACTTGTATTCACTTGACCCAGAGATTGATAGGACATTTCATAGTGGCAATAGAACACATAGGAATAGTTTTGAACATTTTGAGGAATCTTCATCATATTCATCTATCTATTCATCACCTCATTCTTTAGAATTTGAATTTGAAAAAATGGCTAACAATAAGAGAACATTAAAGGAACTGGCTGCACCGGATGTAACATATCAAACTTTATGCATACAGTATCCTGACATTGATGCTCCTTTTGTTCTAAAAATTGGACTAATACACTTGTTGCCTAGATTTCATGGCCTTGCAGGTGAAGATCCATGCAAGCACCTTAAGGAGTTCCACATTGTTTGTTCAACCATGAGGCCGTGCCTAAGGAGCATGTCAAATTAAAGGCTTTCCCGTTCTCTCTTATGGATGCAGCCAAGGATTGGCTCTACTACCTCCCTCTTGGATCTATTGCTAGTTGGGACAACTTGAAGAGACTTTTCCTGGATAAATTTTTCCCAACATCAAGAGCTGCATCCATAAGAAAGGAAATTTGTGGGATAAGGCAGCTTGAAAGAGAAATCCTTTATGAATATTGGGAAAGATTCAAGAGATTATGTGTCAGCTGCCCTCACCACCAAATTAGTGATCAATTGTTGATACAATACTTTTATGAGGGACTGCACCCTATGGACCGAAGCATGATAGACGCTGCAAGTGGAGGGACATTGGTTGACAAGACTCCAGTTGCAGCCCGAAATTTGATTGAGAATATGGCTGCCAACTCACAACAATTTGCAACAAGGAAAAATTCTTGTGTTACCAGAAATATGAGTGAAGTTCAAGTTGTTGAGTCTAGCAAGATAGAACACAAGCTAGATGAATTGGCATCCATGGTGAAGCAATTGACTTCCATGCAAAAGAGTGTTGCTGCA